CAAAAGTTACATGACTGTCTAGCTAACACGGCTGCTTATGGAAGACAGAGGAACTCCAAACTCATTCATTTGTGACTTGGCATACTAGGATGTTCCACTGAAATCCCAAAGGCTGGGATGCTCAAGGCAGTATTTGGAAAAAAGTTGAAGTCACTGACCTTGGGTACTTAATAAAGTCAGTTCTTCTAAGAGAATGAAAACTATATAACATTTAGAAATGTCAGTATTTTTAAAATCTTCAGGTTTTCAAAATGTAGTTTTAACTTCACAGAGGTTTCTTCTGAGAGTGGTGATTTAGCTTAGGGTCCCCGTTTGATCTGAAGTGTATAACCTGATTTTATATTTTTGATTCTCTTTAGGATGGCTGGCTGTGGTGAAATTGATCACTCAATAAACATGCTTCCCACAAACAGGAAGACAAACGAGTCATGTTCCAATGCAGCACCTTCCCTGACTGTCCCTGAATGTGCTATTTGTTTGCAAACATGTGTCCATCCAGTGAGTCTGCCTTGTAAACATGTCTTCTGCTATCTGTGTGTGAAGGGAGCTTCCTGGCTTGGGAAACGATGTGCACTATGTCGGCAGGAGATTCCAGAGGACTTCCTTGACAAGCCAACCTTGTTGTCACCAGAGGAACTCAAAGCAGCAAGCAGAGGCAATGGAGAATACGCCTGGTACTATGAAGGTAGAAATGGTTGGTGGCAGTATGATGAACGTACCAGTAGGGAGCTAGAAGATGCCTTTTCCAAAGGTAAAAAGAATACTGAGATGTTAATCGCTGGGTTTTTGTATGTAGCAGATCTTGAAAACATGGTTCAGTACAGGAGAAATGAGCATGGACGTCGCAGGAAAATAAAACGGGACATAATAGATATACCAAAGAAGGGAGTGGCCGGGCTTAGGTTGGACTGTGATTCTAATTCTGTCAATCTAGCAAGAGAGAGCTCTGCTGATGGTGCAGACAGTACGCTGACTCTGGGGGCTGCGGCTCTGCAGCCTCTCGGATCTGTTTCTGCTAGGCCCCTAATGTCAGTAGATGGTCAGCCAACGAGTCCTTCAACACCATCACCTGATGCAAGCACTTCTTTAGAGAACTCTTTTGCCCACTTACAAATAAATGGAGACAATCTGGCTGAAAGAAGTCATGCAGGAGAGGGAGAGGAGGACCACGAATCATCATCTTCTGGTAGGGTGCCAGCTCCTGACACCTCTGTTGAGGAAACTGAATCGGATGCTAGCAGTGATAGCGAGGATATGTCTGCTCATCTCCAGCCACGCGCGTCCTCTGCTCAGCAGAGACACTTGATTACAAATGCAAACCAGTCAATAGTGGAGAGACCAGTTGCAGGGGGTGGGGCAGTAAGCACCAGTGTGAGATCTAGAAGGCCTGATGGACAGTGCACAGTAACTGAAGTTTAAATCTAGAGCCATGTGATTAAAAACTCAGTCCTGTATATGTAAATTTTCTGTCCCTGTTGGCATTGCACTCAAACCTTAGTGTATTTGGAGTGAGATGGAGTTGGTAAGATGAGAAACTGATTTGGCCATTTAAGTTAGGCTTTTTAACATCTCAGCTGGAAAACTCTTTAAATGTAAGAAAATGGGTTGTCTTGTTAATGGTTTGAAAGCTGCTTAACATTACCCAGAAAGTATCACGTGTTTATTTTGTAGCATTTTACCCCTTGGAACTACTCTCTCCCTTTTTGGCCAATGTATATCCACTGTACAACTTGGATTGTCTTCATTATCTGACTGTTGCATTAAGTGTCTTACTACTTTCTGCATGGATTGATGTATGAAAAGAACACTAAAGCAATGTGGGAACAGGACACCATGTTGGGTGTGAGAGATGCTCAATTTGATGTGAGAAAATAGATGTGAGTTTGGAGCTAAAATGTGTTTTTACTAGACAAACAGCAATCATTTTATCTTCTTCCTTAAATGGAAATGTAAAAATGCTATTAACTTCTGTTGCAAATTCTTATCTATAGACACTTCATGGCGTTTTCACTGGTTTTACCATCTAGTCCTTGTAGTTTTGTTTTTGAGGTCTTTCTTGATCTGTCTTGTTTTTGTTACAAAATTTATAATTTAATAAAACTACATTTTATCAGTAACAATCTACCATCTGTTTGGACTTTGAACTTTATCAGAGGGAAATCTGTCATGAAGCAGCATGCTCTGGTTTGGTCTGGCTTTGAGTGATCTTGATATTTTTGTTCCTAATGTAGTGTGCTGACCGCACCATGGTATGTACATGTTCTTCTGACTGTCTGAATTAGTGTTAGTTATGGGTTTCGAACCCATGTAGTCTCCAGTCAGAGCTGCTCAGGTTTTTCTCCTGTTGTGCTGGGGTAAATAAAGAAAGACTTCAGGAGAGAAGCAGCCAGGCTGTAATTTACATTCAGGAACATTGTAAGTGTATGTAGCTATGTACTTAGACAATCAAAAGGTTAAAGTGTTGGTCCTAGGGCAAAGCTTTAGTCAAATTTTAGGGAATACTTTGCTATTTGTTTATCACATGACAAATCTATTGCCATGTCCTGAATTGGTGGGTACACTTCCAGAGTTTCCCCTTAATTCATGGCGTAGCTCTGCTGTTGATCCCATGTTTGCTTTTCCTCATGTCTTCAGGAAGATTACAGAACTTGAGAAGCTGTGGTTTGAAAGAACTTAGAAATACTGTATTTGCTTTTCATCTTTCAAATTTTATTCAGAAACAATTTCAGTACATTTCAGCATAGTCTTCGGAGGAAAGAGAAGCAGGGTGTCGTCTGTGCAATAAAACAGACTAAGATGGTAATAAAGCATCATCCATTAAAATGTAAACTTAATATGCTTAATAAAAAACAGTGGAAAATGCAGCATATTTCAGCTAACAAAGAAAGATGGTACCTGCAGTGTGTTTTAAAGGTACAGTGCTTCAGAACTGAGCTGAAGGGTGCACTTTACATGCCAAGAACAGAAGCCCTACAGATTATAATGGTGCCCAGTCTGAAGTTTGTGGATTTCAAACTGTTCTTCTGAAAAGAAAGCCCATATATTCAAATCTTATCTTGGTATATGTCATAATTCAAGCAAAAATTTATGGCAGGGTAGCTGCTATGAAGATTACACCATACTCTATTGTCCCACTCTGATTCCTTTTGTGGAAAATGAAGATGCAGAACATGGGAACATAAGAGATTTGACTGACTTGCGCTCCACTTCTCACCAAAAATTGGTGGCAATGATTAAAGAGCATACTAGGAGTCATCTCGAGGTGGAAAGGAACTTCTGAAGGTGAATTAGGACACTTGTGGAAAGGGGAAGATGTGTAAATTTATGAGCTGTGAAAGAGATTCTTTTATAGAATCACAGAACCAGAAGGGACCTGACAGATCAAGTCTGGTCCCCTGCCGTGGGCAGGAAGTTATTGGGCTCAGATGAGCTTGACATTGTGCCTGTCCAGCCTTATCTTTAACATCTCCAAGGAGGGTGACTTCACTTCTGCTGGGTGTGTTCCAGATTCTTGTCTAGCCTGAATTTACCCTCTCTCAGTTTATGTCCATTGGTCCTCGCTTGTCCTCCCTTGAGGTGCCTTCCTGAAGAATTGCTCCCCTAGTTCTTAGTGCTTTCAGCCATCACAAAGCAAAGAACTAAAAAAAAATTAATTTCTCTGGTTACATTTAATATGGGTGATAGATATGAATTGCACCATAAAAAGGAAGACAAAATGTTTCCTCTTTAATTTTCTTGTTTGGCTTTCAGCTAGTCATTTTCTTGCTACTTATTTTTAACAGAGGTTCTAATGAGGATTGGGCACCCTTGGGCTCTACAAATACATAATGAAACACCCTGTCCTAAAGAGTTTACAGGTATTGGTCCTATCTTAAGGCACATACTGAAATGGACAAAATGCATAAACTTCCAGTTGACCCAGTTCCAGGCTGCTCAGCCTGTGAAGCAGCCTATTCCTGAGGATTTCACTGCTGCTTTTCCTTCTCGCTCTTGTCTGAGGTAGACACAGGTTTTTATTGAGCAGAACACCCATGCTGCCTTTGGCTTCCGCTGACTGACTGACTGCAGCTGTGAATTCCTCAGTTAAGCTCTCCCCAGCCTAGCTTTAATAGCCCATTATCGGAAGCAGCAGATTCACTCTCTAGGTCCAGCTCAAAAGATGCAGCAAATACTAATTCCTGTTTTAGACATAAGCCATTACCTTCAATGGGAGACTATTTTCCTGCCAATTTTAGCTAAGCTGCTCTGTAGCTCAGTGAATTAAGAGATTTGCAACTTGTAAAGGAAGGGTGGATAGATGCACACTACAGCAATTTTTTTGGGGGTGTGGAATATCTTTTAAATTATATAAAATCTCTACCGCATCAGCACAGAGCTTTAGGGCATGTAAGTAACTACAAAAAAAGGATCCCTGTAGTGTGCAGAAAGTTGTGATGTAGTACCCAGGACTCCCCACCTGAGACTAGGAAGGGCCAGACCTAAAAAAGTTCTCTGGTGCTTGAATTGTTCTTTAGGTATCTATCCCAGCAAGGGATACACCCAACCCTTTAGGCACCTACCATTTACTGTTTTGCCAGACTATTAATTGGGGCTTTGTGTACATGTGTGTGAGACACAGTATGCAAGGCTAGTTCAGCATAGGCTTTGCATGCAGCGTACACCTGGGATTAGCTCTAGCTTTGCACACCACATACATCATGTGCACCAGATCCAGGCTTGTGCACTGTGCAGTGCATGCTAGACCCCACGCAGTGCCGGTGACCAGTCTGGCATGCACCACATGCAGTGTGCAAGACCCATGAGTAGTACCCTAGGCTTCATGGGCTGGATCTGGTCCACAAGCCCTATCTTTTAACACCCTGGCGTAAGTGGAAGACTGGCTGGAGTGGTGTGATCTGAGTAGTCAGGAAGACTGTGCCTCTGGGATACTGTGCCATGAACCCTCTTCTGGTACAGGCATAGATGGTTGGAAGTAGGCACTGGATGAGGGAAAACATTCCTCCATCAGACTACTAGCTAGAGTATTCAGTGGAAATACAGAAAACCTAGGGTCAAGTCCCTATCCTACCCCAGTAAAGCCAGCATGTGAACCCACATCACAGACAAGTGCTCAAGTCACAAAGCTGGAAGTTCTGGGATGGTTCTGTATCTGCATCCTTGTTGTGATGGTGTTTTTTGAACAAAGGATTAAATAGTCTTCAGAGCAGGGATATGAATCTCCCCCAGCTACTGGTCTAGAAGTTGATTAATATTTTTTTACACAAAGTGAAACAGCTGGGAGAGAGAAAAAATGCCCTCCACCACTGAATAGCCAATGGGCTGGTGTTTAAGAGTATTCCCTTTATGTGTGGAACACATTTAAATCCCTGCTTCAGAGCAGGCTTTTAAACTGAGGCCTCCCACAGCTCAGCAAGTGCTCTAACAATTATGTTCTGGGATGGGACTCAAACTGTAACACTGCACTCTTGGCATACCTAGGGATTGGGGACCACATACTGGGAAATGGGTATTTTAATAGTACCCATAGCTCGGCTGAAGCATGGAGCCAAAAGTTGGGCAGCTTTGCATAGGCCCATCTGCAGAAACTTAGCCAATGAGGGAATTCAGGGGTCTATGATGCTAGACAGCAGATAACCAACAGTTTTGAGGATGTTCTGGTACCTACACAGTGGCACCTGGATCACTAAAAAGTCAGATAAATAGGTATCTAAGTATCTTTGAGGACCTGTGTCTAAGTTAGTTTAGTAGCTCAGTATTCTTGAATTTGCATCCTTTTCACAAAAAAATATTACCTTAATATGTATCCTTGCTTAAATTTTCAGCTGCAGCACCAAAATCTAATTGAAGATAAAAAATAAACTAACCTCTCACCGTAGTGAGGATCTCACCAGAACTAGTTTGAGATCTTTTGGCCACATGCAGAGGGAAACATACTTTCAATCCACACTCATCCTAAGCTTCATTTCTTGTGTAGTCAAGTCAGCACCTTTCACTAGCAATAATATCCATACAAATTAGAAAAGCAATGACTTCAGTCCCATTCTGAGAGCATAACAGTTCCATCCCAGCACAGCATTTATCTTTGAACATTAATTTCACTAATCCCCATTCAACCTGTTAGTAGGAAAGCAAACAATCTACTAGAGATTTCTCTCTGTGGTAGCACATCAAATATAAATCCATGGTATGAAAAGCTAGGAATGTTAATTTCAGCTTAAATTAACAAATTATTAAATGGTTCAAATGTATGGCTTTGTTTTCAAAAGATCAAGCATGTTTTTCTTATACATTGAAAATTAATCATTTGTGTTTTGCTCTCTGAGCCAAGGCCTGCACATTGGCAGGCCCACCCCATAGAGTTGCAAAAATGTCCTTCTCTTCCCTTAGGGCAGCTTCTAGGTGTAGTTCTCTTCCTGCTATGACTACCTTTTTCATAGCCTGAATCACATCAGCTGGACCCTCTGTATATTGATTTAGCCATGTACAGGCTTCTTCTAAAGATCCAGTTTCATCTGAAGATGGTAAGATCTCCTCAGCAAGCCCAAGATGCACCGCTCTTTCAGGATCCACTTTGAGAGCACCACTTAGCAGCTTGAGGGCATTTCTACTACCAACGAGTTGTACTAGCCTGGTAGCTCCACCCCAGCCAGGTACTAAACCCATCAGTTTGTGGACAAATCTAATCTCGCTTCCTGGAGTCATTAATCTGTTTGTAGGAAACAAAAATTCAGTGGTTAATCTCTGTAGTTATTGCGAACCACATTAAAACCAACTTTACTGTTTCCTGTGTCAAGTGAAGTAGAACCAGGTAGTGTGCTATTATGGTCAGAGCCCCTTAAACAACTTGTACCTGGATGCTAAACAAGTTCTTTTTTTAAAGGTGCTGCATACTCACAACTTCTCCTGTCTTCAGTCTGAGCTGTGAATAATCACTCAGCCCTTCTGGAAACCAGGCATTATATTTCTTAGACTGCACCAGACAAGCAGACCATTTAGTACTATGACTGCTACCTCTAGTCAGAGGTCATTTTTTACAAGTGCCTGAAAGAAAATGAAGTGTGAAGATGCAGTGTAAGAGGCCTTCATGCTGACTCACAACTGCCAACACAGCCTGCTTCCTTAATTCATGCTGAAAACAACACCAGAAATCAACATCCTTGAGCTAAATGAGCAAAAGCACAAAACTGGTATTTTGAGAGGACAGGTCAAACTCTGGGTGCCACCTCTACAGTGTTGTAAAGGTGGTGCCACCTCTCTGAATTATTGTTGTCTCATTTTGCATTTGCAGGCTTCATTTCTGCTCACTTCCTATTTAGAGCCTCACTCTGAAGATCTGGGCAGACATTAAAGCTACTTCAAATCAAGGCAGACATTGAAGTGCTTTCCATTTGTACTGTGTCAGTATCTTACAACTCCCTCCTACCAAAGCTGTATCACATTTTGCAGTAGCTGATGCTGTTGTACCACTTCACTGACAGAGTTGGGAAACAGAGATCCCCTTTTAGCTACAATTTCCAAGATAGAAACTGCACAGCTTTATGAGAATTTGTTCTCCAGGCTTCCTGAATGCTCTGGCTTGTGCTTCCTGCCATTATGAGTATATCAGGAAGACTAACCAGTTACAGGTCCATTACATTCCCAGGAGCGGTACAGAAAATACTTCCTATCTCCTCAAGCTGCTGGCACTGAGAAAGTAGTGCCACAGCAAGCTTCACAGGGGACAGTTTTGACCTACCAGGCCACACTTTTCACTGTGTTTTAGCATTTTTGCCAGCTGCTTTGCCACAGCATGGCAGCTGAGTACTCAATGAACCTGGCATTAGGTGCTTCCCAGGACTTGTGTCCTGTATTGTTCAGTCTGAACATAACATACTAAGGGAGATATTGAGAGATTCCATTTATGATGGTCTTCTGTGGGATCATGTCTACTGCTGCTTCTGACACAGACCAGCACAGTCTGGCGGGAGTGGATCATGCTGCAGACCCGGGATGAGAGTAGTAGCTGAATTTCAGAATGAGCTGGGTGCTGATCTGCACTAAGCTGGACCTGTTGCTCTGTAGCCAGGCCAACCAAATGAGGGTACCCCACTGTGGGTGGCAATAGCCATTTGGAAACTAGAAACCTCCAACCCCCTCCATTGTGTGGCCAACCATTTTAATACAAGAACATCTGCAGCTGGATCAGCCACACAGGAGATGTACTTTGCTCCCCTGAAGGTCCTGGCACCTAGGTTCATTATATACTCAACCTAGAAGATGTCATGGCTGTAAAGAGTTTCTGAAACTGCATGTGCATTGCCATCCTCTGCCCAGCATCTCAGGGCTGAGAGTATATTAACTAACTACAAGGGATACTTCTCTGGTATACTCCAGGACATCACAGGTCAGCAGGGTCAGCTCATGTATGGACTATGGAGTGTCATACAAGTCTGCAGTTAGGGGGTTTCAGAACTACAGGCTGCCCCCCAGTGATGCAGAGAGCATTTTCCCCAGCACTTCTAGACTTAATGCTACACTGGGACCCAGCCCACACTCTCTTCCTCTTACTCATGAAATCCTATACTAAAAGGCTGTTCAGCTACTTGCTGAGCAGCTGCCAAAATACTGGAATAGGTCTGGAGGCTGCCTAAGAGCACTAGGAATGTGCCTAGAAGCTACTGAACATTTAGTAGTTACCCAAGATGGCCATTTTGTCCTGCATGCTGCAAAACATATGAGGCTGGGGGGAGGGATCGGGTGAAGCATGACTTCTTACTGGAAGCCTGGGTGATGGAGGCTTAGAGGCTTGTCAGTCTCAGGCCCCAGAGACTTGACCTCAAAAATCACAACAGGATATTTTCATGAGGGAGGACCCTGCAAACTACGTTCAATGTTGCCAGATCACTGGGCAGGGGAAGGGTATATCAGTTGAAATGTAAGTGAAAGACAAAATTATTAGACTTTTTTGGCAACAAAAGTGGCAAAAACTTGTTTATGAAATTGCACAAACAAACACCCAAGGCTGCAAGAGCGAAACAGCAAATTGCCTCGTAAAGGGAGCACAGGAGATTTCTGCAACTGCAGGAGGTAAGGAAGAGGAAGCTTGAAAATGGGCTCTAGACCAGACTCAGTGCATGCCACTAAAAAGGGAGGGGTCTTTTGGGGTGAACTTGCAAAATAGGCTCCCTCTGTGTTGTCTGGAGGACTGAAAGGGCTCGTATCCCACACCATACCCCTTCCCCCCGAAAGAGCACTGACAGGGCCTGAGTTTGGTGGTGGGGATTTATTTCTGTTCACATAGTCCTTCCACAGAGACTCAGAAGTATGCCCCAGTGTTCCCTCCTGCACCAGAAAAGGAACTATGGAGCCTTTCAGTGATGACTGAAAGCCAGTGATGGAGTATGGGTGAGGAAATGGTTTCTGGAAGAAAGTCAAGATTTGCCTGTGGAGCTGCTGAGCTTGCTGAAGGTAAGTTTGTGCACGTGATGGAGGGTCCTGTAACTGGAAGCCATAGAATGGAAAACTACTGTCTAAGTCATGAAAGCCCATCTCGGGGACTGGAAAAAACAGTGGTGGGAGCTAATGGCTTGGGCCAAGGAAGGTTAGGGCATGGGGAACAAAATTGCTTGGAAGCTCTTATTTATTAGTTGAGAATGACTATGAGAGAATACTGTTTCCTTCTCCACACAGAGGTCCTTCATCAGCATCTCACCAGGCTCACAGCCTCACTACTGGCCTTAGCCCTGATAAAACCCTACTGAGGCATGTCAGTCTTGCTGCTCCCTCCCGACTTTGCCTCGTCCTCATTCTGGCCACACGTTGAGTCCTGCCTCTGGCACTGACTTTGGGACTATAGCAGAACCATCAGCAGCTGCAGGCTTTGACTCTGGATGGGGAGTAAAGCAACAAGGCATCATTGCTCTACTTGTATAACTTAGTGATAATTCCTACAGCCCCCTTTAATTGCCAACATGCCACCACAGGAAACTATTTAAATGAAGATCAGTCTCCTGAGATGGTAGGTACCCACACCTGAAGACTTCAGGAGTTTCCAGAGCAGTCTCAATAGTTTCCACTTTTGGTGCATGAATGGGCTGAGAGCCAGAGCCCCCAACTACTTTGAGCTGCTCCTCTTTCTCCAAGTACACATAAATCTTGGCTCTGGGTATAGCACACCTTGGGTCTTGTACACAACAGGCCAGTTGAAGGATAGGCAGGAATACTACTGGTGCTGCCAGAGTGAAGGGGCACTGCTACACACCAGAGGGATTTTGAGCGACCAAGCAGGAATTCCCTCTGGCTGACATCTCCCAAGTCACGATGAGGCTGACCTCTCCCAGGGAGGATGAGGGCACAAGGGGCAGGTGGGTCCTTGTTGATATTTGTGTCACCGCAGCTGTCCAGTCCTGACAACTGGCACATCTGCTTCATGGTCCCAAAAAGGAGCAGGGTTTCCCTGAAATTCTTCAGGCCTGCACTCCAAGCCTGGGACTGATTCCAGTGCACGTTCTGAGCCTGCCTATGGTCCTCATTCTCCATATCACTGCTTCTGAACAAGTCCAAGTACACCCCTTACTCAGCAATGAAGCACGGCTCTATGGCATCATTCCCAATGAGTTTCTATGACAGCTCTTCATAGTAAAAGCACATTGACTGATGGGCATCTGAAGCCTGGCTGGTGTCTTGTATTGGGATTTCCAGACCTTTGTCTTGGTCCTGACTGTGCCTGTGAGCTGCCAACTCTACTGTGATCTGTCTTCAATGGCCTGGTTTCAGTGGCTGTCCCACAGGACCCACTGAGTGCTCTCCTTACCCTGGATGGCAAAGAGGTCAAGAATCTCCAGCTGGTAAAACATTTTGAGGGTATTTTCTGAGGTTCCGGTTGTTTGGTAGGAGGGTGAGAAGGTGCATGCTACTCTCAAGAAGCCAGATCAGCAAAGTAGCAGTCTGACAATAAGTTCCTGCCTTCCCACCTATTATATTAAGGTTCAGGTTACATGCAGGGACTGTGACCACACAGCAGAAGAGTTGACAGGGCAGAATGGAGGTGGGAAGCCCAAAGCATAATGAGATGCTGCTGGGCTGACTCTCCTTAAAGGAATGGAAGGATATAACCTGATGGGCTTTACTCTAAGGCAAGTTGGAGTTGTTTCTGCTTTATCCAGTTATTTTTGATTTGGGAAGGGCTGAGTTGTAGCATGCTAGTATTATGTATGGCACTACTCACTATTTATTGCTTTTAATGCATGATAGACATTATGTCTGTCCATACCCTGGGTTTGATTTATTCTAATTAATGACCACAGTAAAACAAGCTCTGAAGGTTAGCTCTACTCTATTTATGTCTTATACTGTACACATTAGAATAAAACCACTGATCTCCCAACTTGTAATGGTGCATTATTATTTTCAAAGGTATCTCATCTTTACTTTGCTCATTGTTATCTCACACCTGTCTTAGTTAAGAACTCACCCTATGATTTGTTAATCCATTTTCCTTAGGAAGCAACTACAGCAGTGGGTTGTACTTCCCTCCATATCATATTCATGGTGATACTCATTAAGTGTCTTCCAAAAGCGATTAAAAGCCTTTTTTGCTTTGAGTTGTATACAAAAAAAGGGAAAATAAAGTAGGAGAAGCATAAGCCATTATGAAGAGAGAAAGCTCAATAAAAGGAGACAAGCAGGTATTCCTTCTTAAGGCCATGCTAAAGGTTAGGTCCCTTG